AAAAAAAAAAAAAAAAAAAAAAAAAAGAAGTGTGTGGTTATGTACCAGTGTTTGTGGTAATCGTGAGGCCAGAGTTGGCGAAAGTGGTCGAGGGGAGAGCCGACAATGGTGAAGCCTTCGGACCACATACGTTTAGGGAAGAAGGAGGAGATACGGACGAGGCCGTAGCCGGAGATGCCATCGGGGGTACGTGCGGCCTTGAGCTTGTGGGAAGGCGGGAGAGAGAAGAGGGTGTCAGCGGAGGATTCAATGGATTGGAGGAGGGAAATGGGGACGCCGTGGTTAATGACCTGGAATGCCCCCCACGACCGGAACGCGTTGCCGATGAGGGCCGCCGCGTTGGGTAGAGAAAGGTCAATTAATGGGACGGAGTCGGAGTCAGAGTCGAGAATGGAATTATGATGTTTATGGGTGGGGGAGGGGAAGGAGTCGGGTTGAATCCATGCATAGGAGTCGGGGAGCTCATGGAGAGAGTCAAAGTCGAGGTTTTTGTGGGCGGGGATGTGGACGGGGAAGGATTTGAAGACGTCGGCTATTGTGGTGGCCATGTTGTTAGTAGAAATGAAATGGGTTAGTAGTAGAAGCTTTTGAATTCTAAACGGGAAAGATTAGGCAAGGGATTAGAATGGCATGAAGTTAGTATTTATAGAGATGACGACAGGGACAACTTGTCCCAGCTCACCCCGCTCAGCTGATTGATTGTGAACTGATGAGCTATGTTTAAATTGGGAGGGGAGAGAAAAAAGGACAAGAGGAGAGAGAAAGAGTGAGTAGTATAATGTTGGAAAGAAGGAGTGAGTGGTGTTGGGAAGGGAGAGTTAATGGAAGGAGACAAGAAAAGAAAGGGGAGTGAGTGTTTTGTATTGGACAAGGGAAAGAACAAAATAGGAAAGGACCATTTTGTCCTCTCCAACAAAACTATCTTATAACATAACCACAAGATCCCTCCCTACCTCTCTCACTATTGCTCAAGATTTTCCTCAAAAAAAAAAAAAAAAAAAAAAAAAAAAAAAAAAAAAAAAAAAAAAAAAAAAAAAAAAAAAAAAAAAAAAAAAAAAAAAAAAAAAAAAAAAAAAAAAAAAAAAAAAAAAAAAAAAAAAAAAAAAAAAAAAAAAAAAAAAAAAAAAAAAAAAAAAAAAAAAAAAAAAAAAAAAACGATAATCCCTTGATAATAATAATAATAATAAATAAAAAACTAAAAAAAAATTAAAAAAAAATTCCATCAAAACAAACACACACTGCCCTTTCGCCCCTATCTCCATGTGCCTTTGTCTTGTCCTCAAGTAGAAAACCATCTAAATCAAACATACCCTCTTCCCCTTCCCCTCTCCTAAACTATACTCTCTCTAAACTACATGACAATACTTCTCTTTTCATTTTGACCATACTACCCTTCCTCTTATATATACATACGTGGGCTCCACTCACCAATACAACCAATGATCGCCAAGGGCAATCTTGTCTTTTCACCCCACAAACACACACACCCATGACTTACAATAAAAGAAAAAAGAGTAGTAAATATAAGAAGTAAAATTCAAAGATTTGATTATTTAGAGTAAAAGCTTATTTTGGTGTTTAGTGGTTACATTTTGAGAAGGAAAAAACATAACAAGAGAGAGAGAGGAGTTGAAGTTGTATGTTTTTGGTCGTTATTGAGACAAAAGTGGGGGCTCCCGACTCATAACCATCAACCCCCACCCGTTAGAGTCTCTTAAGATTAGGAGGTCTATCCGAGTCACTCCAAGACACTGTTATTTTGGAGATCGTATACAGTATCTTCATCTTCATCTCCATCTCCACCCTTTATAGCGACTCAAAACCCTCCTCTCGTGAAACATACGAAAAAAGAAGATTTCATGATGTTGTTTGTTGTCAAGTCATCCCTAGTTGGAATGACCCTCTTACATGGGCCATATGATACTCAATCTTCCAACATAAATGCATTATATTATGCTCATTTTACATGCATATGCCTTTCACGTGGCCCAAACATGATGAGGTCGGGTCATTTCTTGTAACAAATCATGCTTTAGTTTGCTACCTCCAATATATACATAACACATACACATCAGTCTCTCTCTATCTTAGAGTATATTTATATAATATGGTTATGGGTTCACATTAATTTATAATATATAGTTTGATATACGAATTAATGTAGATTATGGTGAGAGGGAAAGAAGAATGCAGAAGGTCGAAGAAGAAGGTATTGGTGGGGATTGATAGTAATATATCCATAAAGTTTTGGAATTATCGAAGCTTTTTGTTCTTAGGGCTAATGATTTAGGGTTAGAATATTGCATCATGAAAAGAAGGCACAAAGATGCTTTTGGTTTGGACCTTATTTATTGGTTTCCATCCTTTTCATTTTTAACAATGTGCTCCATGCTATTCATTTGAAATTGACATTTTTGTTTTTCATTGAAATTAAAAACAACCCGACAAATTAAAATTAAACCCCGTTTGATAACTTTTTTAAAAATTTAAGCTTTAAACGTTATTTCTACCTATGATTTTCTTTGTTTTGGTTAGTTTTTAAAGTCATAGTATAGTGAAGAAAGTGTTATTAAATGAAGCTATCGTGTTTCTGAAACCCTAATAGTTATCAAATGAAGTATCAAGTTTTCGAAACCCTAGTTGTTATCAAATGAAGCATCAGAATTCCAAAACCCTAAAAGTTATCAAATGAAGTATCGAATTTCTGAAACCCTAATAGCTATCAAAGGAGGTGTTAGATTTCCGATTCGATAATACTATAGGGTTTGAGGTATAATGGTAGAAACAAACAATAAGACAAAAATGATACCTGAAAAATAATTCAACACCCTTTGGCCTTGACTTTGGATAAGAAACCCTATATTCATGATAGCCCCTCTCTCTCTCTCTCTCTCTCTCTCTCTCTCTATATATATATATATATATATATATATATATATATATATTTATTGTAGCTTATTCAAATTCATGAAGCTCTCTATTGAAAGAGGACAACAATAGATGGAAAGGAGAAAAAAGAAACAAATTCATGAAAAGGAAAACCTTACAAAGAAAACCCATAAATGGAAAAAAAGAGTTCAGTAGGAAAAACATTGGCACAAACGATGTCTACATTTGTTTCTTTCCAACAATTACGACCAATGACCAAACAAAGATACATAAAAAAAAACAAAAGCAACCAAAACCAAAGTAAAAGGAAAGAAAGCATCACTAAAAACCAAACCATGCATGGAAATGGTGGAACAATACCAATCTAATCAATTGGTTCTTTTTATCATATATCTTAAGACCATGCAAAACCTAGCTACCATGGTTCGTATGTTGTCGTGTTTAAGGAAGATGACAAATTTTGAGCTAGCTAGAATGACACTTGTCACAGTCGAGTTGGACCGTCCTAGGTTGCCTCAGGTTAATATGATGAGGTAAAATAAAAAAAAACATTGTTCATGTTTTTTGATGAATCATCAAAACCTATCCCAAACATGTGTAGTTTTAGACAATTGATTGGTGTTGCTCTTTGTTTCCTTATTTAGTATTCATTCTTGTGTGGAATTTGGTGTTGGCTGTGGGCACTCCCCACTATACAAAATCCGTACTTTAAAAAACACAAATCTAATGGAAACCCTTCATGTTCATACACTTTTTCAAATTAAGCATGAACCAACCCATGTTCATGAACACTTACACATTAATGTATATACTAAAATCAGAGCTTAATATCCGATTTGATTATGAACAGATATCACTATTTAAACAGTGAGTTGATACCCATTTTAATGGAGAAAATGTCAACCAAATCATTTAATATATTGACAATGATTAGTTTAATTTGAAATGTATTTGATATCACTTAGCGGCAGACCCCTAGAAAAAGGGTTGGGTTTTTTTATTTGAAACGCATGCAAATTTTGGGTCAATGTATCTCTTTTGAGCCAGATTGATTTGAGTTAGTATGAGAGGGACAATTATGAAGAAAAGGGGTTTAGAATATTGATAGATTCTGTCATTAATCACCAAAATCAAAAGCATAAAGCATTTAGAAAAGACAATTGATTGCCAAATTTCCACTTCTTTTCCCCCAAACCCTTTTTCTCTTTCTATTTTTACATCGAATTGCCTTTACCTACCAAAACAGTTTAAACATCCGTACTCGAAACAACTCAAGTGTCTTACACGATATAATATGTTGATATTGTGAGTTAGAAAGCTCGTTTTTCGATTTGTTCAAAACTGGACATTAAGCTTTACATTGGAATCACGAGATATGACGGTCGTGCATTCAAAGGTTAATGAACAGTTAGAAATAATTATGTGGGTTTTGTGAGTGTTTCATTGTGAGATCTTGTACGGTTGGAGAGGAGGACGAAACATTTCTTATAAGGGTATGAAAACTTTTTCTTAATAGATGCATTTTAAAACCGTAAGATTATATGTAATAGGTCAAAACGGACAATATCTTCTAGTAGTGAGCTTAGACGGTTAGATTCATTTTGTTTCGAATCGAGAGTCAAAATGAATGGATATCTATTGAATGGTGCTAGGTGGCTCTTGGGAAAACCACCAAAAGAAAGAATGCCTCTTTTTCCCTTTACTTTAAATTAAGAAATTAGCTTTGTTCTTGCTCCCAACCAATCACATGATTATAGCAGCAAAGATATGTATAAAAAAGAAGGTGACAGGAGATAACCCTAAAAGACTCGAGAAATGAAAAGATGAGGACAAAAAGTAGAAGCATGGCTTTGATGGCCATTTTGTGTCCTTACATTAATAGTTTAATATTCGAGAAAACTTTACCTTATATCGGGTTCATTACGCTTCTTTTTCTTTATCTTCATCATCGTCGTCGTCATCATTTTCTTTCTTCTTTTCCTCCTCGAGTCTCTTGAACGTCACGACTTTCTCGGTTTTATTCATTTTAGATTATAATAGATGGGTATACTGAAAGGGCAAGTCTAAGTATTAGAAGATAGCTTCCAAATGTTTGTCAGCCAAGGTAGATGGATGATCATTGGCAACTTATTTTGCTCTTCTCTAGGGGATTGTTTTTTCTTTTGTCTCTCTATTTTGCAGCTCTCGTCTAACCCTTAAGGAAATCAAGAGGCCGTCCATGTTAATGAGAAAAGACACTGATTAGAGTGAGGAACGAGTGCTAGTCATAATGTTCAGGATTGTAAGATCACACCTCACTGTTGGAGAGGTGAACGAAGCATTCTTCCATAAAAGTGTGAAAACATTTACAAAAGGAAAAAAACAGTGTCTCAGGAGAGTGAGCTTGAACCGTTACAATTATTTAGATTTTAACAAAAATTTGTTAGTGAGTGAGTGATTTTTTTAGTTGATTCATTGAATTCAGTCAGCTGGCTTTAAAGAATCTCATGCATATATATCCTCACATTATGGAAGAGAGAGAATCTAAAGAATTAAAAAATAATAATAATAAAAACCTAAAAATTTAAAATAATAAATGTTCAATGATATATAATCATTAATGTTTGTTTTTTGTTTGATCATAAATCCTTTTCGAATCATTTTCATTCACAAATGTTCCTTTGATTATTATACTCACTCCAAAATGGAATTATTCTTAAAACAAATTTGTTATCAAATCAGAATTAAATTTTTTAATTTATGTTATATATCGACTCGAGTATAGTTCAATTGATTAATAAAATTTCGACCTCAAAAAAGAAAAAAAAGAAGCAAAAAACCTAGCTACCACTCTTTTATTGTTTCGTTTCTAGTATTAACTCTAGTAATTAGAGATGTTCATTTTACCTATGGAGACTTGCCCTGAATAGGGAGATTCCCTATTTAGACAAAGGGAAGGTAGGAGGGAACGTTTTTTTCCAGTTAGATAAATGGGGTCAGGGACAAGATTATATTCCTCGTCCCTACTCTGCTCAATTCTCGATCTTGTTTCATCCCCACTTCGTTAATATAAATGTATTTTTAACACCTATTAAAGATGGGGAACGAAATAGGTGACACTCCACACTCCGTGGACATCTCTACTAGGCAACTTCACCGAGAATGGAGGAAGAATAAACGGTGTCGTTTTGATTTGATGGGGTCTAGCTGATTTGGAAGGTGGCTTAGTTCCCTTATTTGTCTGTTTGTTTAAGGATAATGGAATGTGAAGAAAGGGCCAAACCAAAAACCAACTCATTATATCCTTAGCTTATTAATTATGGGTCCTTTGCATGAAGAAGGTGGCTTAGTTGCCTTATTGTCTTTTTTCTTACCACACACACTTACAAGATATACCACACAAACAAAATCCTCATCTCCATTATCACACATGCTCCAAATTCATCCTACCAAAACCCACCCGACCCAATCTAACCGTGTTTGTAGTGAGCTAAGGTATCGGCCAGAAAGAAAAGAAATGTGAACATTTATCATGATTAAACTCAATTTTTCGCTCGTTTGACTTACTGTATTAAAGTCACTATTCGATTCATAAACGTGTTTCAATCGTTAAATTAAGATAAATTTTAATTTTTTTAGTCGATTCGTTGCTGTATCGTATCGAGAAAGGAACGTGATTTAAATATCAGGTAACGAAAGGGTTAGATAATTTGGTGTATGTTATGGATTTTATAAATATATGAAGGGGGATAATGTGAAGAAAGAGTTTTGGAAAGAAGGGAAGTAGACAAAGGTAAAAACAAAGAGGAACTTGAAAGCTTAGTATATGACATTTAAACAGTTTGGAGAAGAGAAAGACAAGGTGGATTGGCATGTGTCCTGTCCTTTTACAAGATAAAGCTAACCATTTTGTATTATTCCTATTTTCCAACAATATCATTCACTCGTTTTCTAATGGATGCAAATCTAGCTGCCACTTATATTTATTTATTATTCTTTACGATATGTTTCGTATATACTATTGCGACATTCGAGTAAAAAAGATGGTACACGAATGAACCGAGCACCCATTTAAATGAGAAATATAATAACAATAAATAAGTCCCAAACAAATACTTCAAAAACTCCCAAACAAATAAATGAGTCCAAAAATAATTCCCTAATAATCTTACTTTTTCTAAAGACAAAAAAAAAAAATATATATATATATATATATATATATATAAAATTAATATTATCAAATTTAAAAAATTATATAAGTGACATTATCGAAAGTGTCAATTAAAGAATCGAGGTAAAAATGACCAAACATAGGTCACCAAGATTCTACCCAATAATAGAGTAATGATTAAGGATTTAAAAATTAGAATAAAATACAATTTTCTATGTGATCTCTCAAATTTTAAAACTAACATCTTTACCATTCAATTTGAATTTAGTTTTTATCATTTGGTTCTTTAAAAACAAATTTGAAAATAGTTCTATTCTTGAGTGAGGTTAACTCGGTCTAAAATATATATCACAAAAAGTATACGTTAGTTGTCACGACATCAACATAGATCATCAAAAAGATCTCGAGACCCATTAAAGTTAGAATCTTTCAAAAAAAAAAAAAAAATGAATTTCTATTCAAAAGATTTAAATTAACGAATCAAAATTCAAAATTTAAACTTGGAAATCTTCATAAACACATCACAAAAAGTTTTGAAAACCCCAATATCTAAATGGTATGAAAATAAGAGATTTTTGAAGAGACAAAGAAGTGTGAGGTTGATTTATTCTTGTACAAGAAGGTTTTTGTTGTTATTTCATGGCATGGAATCAAAATGAATGAAACTTTTCATATAGATCTAAACCCTTTTTTTTGTTTCCTCGAGAAGACCAAGAGAGAGAGAGAGGTAAAGTACGAAGAAATAAATATATAATTGTGCGACCCTCAACTTGTCTGATTATTCCTCTGATGGTGTGTCCATTTATGAGCACCCATACCCATACACTAAGCTTTTCTGTGTAACCACTGCGATGAACAATCAATACATAGAGAGCTGCTTCGTAAATCAGCATCATATAAATTAGATGATATATCATTGGATACCTGTTGCAGTTCAAAGATCATATAGACACAGATTTAAAAAGTTTGGAGAGAGTGGTGGGGAATTTGGGGAGAGAGAAAAGTTGTAGTTTGGTTATGAGAGGCACATGCAATGGAGTTGAGGCCATGGAATCCAGACCCCCAAGATCACAAAAGCAAGTTGTATAGTTTTGGTTTTTGTAAATAAGACAATGGGAAAAAGAAACAAAACGTTAAATAGGAGAAAAAAAAGCTAACGTTTAGTTTTGTCTTTGGCTTTGGATTTGGCTTTGGCTTTGGCTTTGGCTTTGGCTCTAAACATCACCTTCCACGAGGATATAGATCTTCTTTGGGCACATGCATTTGTCTTCTTTCTGAATAATATTATCACCAAAAAGATTGAGAGAAATTAGAACCAACATGACATGACACTAAATGACATGAATCAAATTTCACAAATTCTTCTAACTCTCTATCCACTTAACTAATGTATGGCTCTTCTTCTTCCTCCTCCTCTCTTTTACCCAAGTCCCTTTGTAAATGGGCTGAGCTTAGCCTTGTGAGCCAATCCGTGTAGGCCATAAGAAGATAGCCTTCTTTTCAGCCCAATGCTAAGTCCAAGGGTCTTTTGGTACTGCTGCAATCAGAGTTCAAATCTATATCAAATCATTAATAACATGTATATAATGTAAAATCGTTGTCATTTTCAGTGGCGATCTCACTTTCGAAAGAGAGTTTGTGCTTCATAGCACGTAAACATAACACATAGCTTCATAGCAAAACTAGTCACTGGCTACAGGTTTCTTCCCTACCAGACTAAAACACAACCGAGAATGTGATGTCAAAAGGACCAACATAAAGGAGAAGCAAGGAGTAGGAACTAGCCTGCCTTTTTTTAAAAGAGTAGGGGCGGAATTGAATGATTATGATCTCGACTATGAGACAAAGCCAAGAAGGGAGAGCACTTAGACAATTCACTATAATATGTTCTTCAACCAGCTCAACCATCAAAATGATCAAATAGTCATGTTCACTAGCTTATTTGTGAAGGATGAAATTAAAACTTTGAAAAGATTAGGGACAAATATTATTGAGATATGAATGAATCACTTTAAAAAGATATTAGAGATTTGTAAATGCTCAAATCGTGATTCTTGTACATATATATTGTTAATAGTTACATTTAATTAGGGAAATAACCTAATATAAAATGTCTACCACATGCTGAAACTATTGGAAATGTACCGAAAATATTGGTGTCATGTCCATGATTGTAAGCATCTTTCAGAGCCATGTTAGGTTGGTCACAGCAATTGCATGCATGGCAAAGGAAGGGAAATTCCATGAGCATTTCAGTTTGTGGGCCGATCCGAAATCATGATGTTATGTCTTAGTATTAAGATCAAAATTCTTTGTACAATTATTGTGAGTAATAGAACAAGTATATTAAAGTGTTTAATAAATCTTACAACTTGCAAATTTGTTTCATAAACTTTAAAAAAGTGTCTAATAAATCTTACAACTTAGCCGGTAATATAAAAGAAATTCAAAACATTCATGCATAGGAGTAACCATTTACATCCAAACCAAAAACTTCAACAGAACCGCAAAAACTACTTTGGGTATGGTTAGACCATCTCGAAAAACGACTCTTATTATGATAATGAATCCTTGAATTGGGTGAGGCTCAATACCAATTACCAGTAACCAAAATTGGAAAAATAGTAATATGGCTAAATCCAAGCGATAGGTAATGACCCTAAAAATTTTGTCGTACTTACTGAGTTTAAAGCATGGTAAGAATGTCAGGTCAATAGATTCCCGAAGCCTTCGCCGCAGTGGCAAGTGTGTAGGAACAAAGCTGCTCAATCGGCCACGCAGGTTCCATTACCACACCTAACAACCCGGCAACCTGAAACTTTAAAATGAAAGCTCTTTCTTCACTTTCAAAGACAATATTACTGAGATCAAGATAACATAACTGGAAATCTAATCCCAAAGGTATATGAAGGAAAGGAACCACCGTTGTTGGTGGCAGTGGTGGTTGAAGTGGAGATCCGCCGCCACTTTAGAATTCGGCAGTGCCTGAAAGTTCGGTAACAGTTCATCTAAGTTAGTTATCTATTTCCAATAAAGGCGCTTTTTTTTTTCCCCTCTCACCTACTTGTCTGAAAGCTGTACAATTAGAAGTACACGCTGCAGAGAAGTAATGTTGCCATAATTTGTTTTATTTTACAGCTCATCTTATTATTCACAATCTTTGTTGTGTTGTTCATATTCTGTTTTAATACAGAGAAACTGGACAACGCCCATGATCAGAAAAGACAGTTTGTACATTCCTGACACAAATGATTCTTCACGCTCATACGCTCATGAACTAAATATATGGACGAGGAATAATCGTACACTATGCTATTAAGTAATTCAGAAATAAATGAGCTTGATTTCTTTAAAACAAAATGTGATTCTGTCTGAAGTATATATGTATGACATGTGTCATATTTTCTCAAGTGATGCAGATATCTTTGTAAAAGGTAAAAGCCAACAAAATTCAAGTTGGTTTAACGAGTTTACAAAACTGCATTGCAATTTTTTATATCCAAATACAACAAATCAATCCGACGGTTGATTTAATCTATTGACCAATTCCATATCTTTTACTTCTAAATTCTAGTCACAGTTCTGTTTTATACAATTTTGATTAGTAGAATTAAACTAGATGAAGATAAATCAAAAGCATCAAAATAAGAAGGCATATTAACTACCTAATTATGTAACCGTTATTGTAAGGTACAACCTGTAGAATGCATGTGGGTTTGCAGATGTGTGCGTGTCTAGATAGATAGGGACAGAGAGAGAGAGGTTCTTACAGTTGGTAATAAGGGAAGGTGAAGAGACCAATTTGGAGTTTCCTCCAACCAGAACTGCACGCATATCAAAACCAAGAAATGAAGCATTAGATGCCTTGCAAGTTCCTTGCCCACAATTTATGACTGAGCACACAGCGGTACCTGCAAATAAAATCAGAATATTTAAAATAGAATTAAACCTACCTAACCAACCCAAAGAAATGAACAACAAAACCAAATGCTAAAAGCAGAACTTCACATTCATACCTCGTGCTGAGTATGAAACCAACTCATTTGACTTGTTCAGAATTCCACTGGTTGGAAGAAGAAATTGAAAAGAAATGGAGATGAGGATGCAGAGATTGAACCCTTCCTCCAATGTTTCTGTTGCTAAAGACTGTGAAGAGCTATTCCACTATTTAAAAACTGAATGAACACCCTCCACCCCAACCACCCACCCACCCACATCTTTGGCAGCGGGTTTTTCTATTAGAGACCAGGATTGGTGTCACGAATAATGCTCAACCTCCAGTTAGATACATAGAGAAAACCCACATTTAAAATTGTATGGAAAAAAAAATACATAAACCAGCAAACACAAGTATTATATAAATCGAAGCTAGTTTAAGATAGCCCTTCAAAACTAATTTCATGGCGTGAATTGATGGCAACATTAACAGATATAAAATAATACAATTCATTGTTGTACTTGTAGAAGTGAATGTCAATGAAAACTTAAAACTTCTTCGTAAATGATAAAGCTGCACAGAATCAGTGGTTAAGGGAAGCAAGGAATTACAAGTGTATAGAAGGCTGCAGTCGGATTACTATTAGTCACACCGAGACAACACAATGATTATCAGAAAACAAAATTAAAAAAAAAAAAAACAAATCACTTTGCAGAATGGAAAGTGGTGAATCCATTACTATCTTCATCATAGCGTGAAATTTATGCAGACCCAAATTCTGAATACCACTTCTCATGCCGTTCGATGTCAGCAGCAGAAACACTTCGCTGTACCTTCTTCAATGCTTCTTCAAAGTCGCACATGGCAACAGGGTCCTTTGAAATATCATCCTTGGCCATATTCTTAATCTCATCGCGAGTTTTTCCAGCTATTTTACGTCTCATTCCATTCAAGGAAGCATCTCTGCAGACATTTGTTAGATCATCCCCACTATATCCTTCTGTCCGGCGAGCAACATCATCGATATCCACATCAGGAGCCACCTGGTATGGATAACCATAATACATTTGCATCAAGTAAGTTTATTCAAATCAGCAGCCATTTAAACTTATGAGATAAATATTTTTCTGATTGACTACGAAATAAATATTTCTTCCCAAACAATGATAAAACAATCCAAAAGAAGTAATTAAACCCCACAAAAAAAAAAAAAAAAAAAAAAAAAAAAAAAAAAAAAAAAAAAAAAAAAAAAAAAAAAAAAAAAAAAAAAAAAAAAAAAAAAAA